AATTTTTACCCAGACATCACATCCATGAGCCTTGTATCTAAATTCAAACCCCAGTATCCTGACAAGACAAAACAAGCTGCGGTCTTTCAGTTGTTACTGTACCACAACTCCCATCAGCTCTTATCATGATGTCTAATGATGAGGATATAGGAATTGAAGTCCAACATCTGCAGGGCCACATAAAAATTACATGGGTCAGATTTGGCTGATGGGCCTTGAGTTTAGCACATGTGGTGTATAGTAACATCATGCATTGGGCTGTGTGGGTAATTTTTTTCCTCTGGAAAACATATAAAGTTGACACAAGAAAGAAACTGTATGTAGTTTCCTATCACACTAAGTTGAAAGTGGCTAAGCAAGATGTGTTAAAAAAAACCCAATGAGATCAGCAAGAACTGATAGGTAGCATGCAGTGAGATCAGTATCTGCATATCAAATTCGAATGGTAAGGTTCCAAGGTAGGAATGTATACAAAGCAAACATTTCCTGGAATATATCAATTCAACATGCTCCCTATAAAGGAATGTAGATGATTTAAGGACAAATCCCAATCCTGTATCACCACTGGTAATGGAATGTGGCTTCTTTAATTAAAAATCAAAAGCTGAATAAGCTGGATTGATCTTCTGGCCGGAAAAACTTTTAAAACAATACTGGCTACCACCACACTTAAAAGAAATGTTAAGCCCTTGGCTTACTTGAGGTTCCTTTAGGCTAGAATGTGCTGGATTCGCACTCAGGCTTTGTTCTCTGATGTAACACTAAATAGATTCCTTTCTAGATATACACTGCCACCATTGATACTTTGATTTCTTCTATAAATTGCTTGGAAACTTCTCACACAGAGGCACACTGAGGCAGTGACTGTGAACAAGGAACAATGTTGTTTATTTGAGAGAACTTGAATAATACAGGCTTTAAGCTTAGCGGTTTCAATATTGGATAAAAGCATATGGTTTCTTTAAACAATTCAGCACTTAGTTGCAAATAACACTCCTCTCTCCCTCCAGAAACTACTGGCAGGATTCCTCTCTGCCTAGTATTTCTAAACTCCACAGATAGTCCTTTCTTTCTGGATCTGTCTCTCCACTCCACCAGCTATCCTTCCCAATAGCTATTAATCTTCTCACTAACTAACTCTGCTGACTAACTGACCAGCTTCTGGCTTCTCTAACTCTGTTCCTCTGACACACACTCCCTGACTCCTCTCTCCTTCACACTCAACCCAATCTCCTCCTCCTTTGACACACCAACCCTAACTGAGCTGTCAGGTTTTAAAACACACCCTTAAAGTCATTTTTTTCTTTTCACAAGTTAAGTTCCGCCCACTCTCCCAGCCAATCACAAACTCCTCACATTTCCCTCCAAGCTGCTCCTAAGCACCGCCCCCTCCAGGAAAAGAGATTCTAAGATGGATGCCCCCAGGCACCCTTCTAAAATGGCTGCTGAACTTCCTGGGCCTACTTTTCTGAGCTTTTCCTAGCCTAATAGGTAGGGAATTCATCACACTCCCAAAGCCCATAACATGCTAGATAGCCATATTATAATACTGTGTCTGGAACTTCCGCTATGCACTGTATCAAGTAATGAAATTTTGTTATAGGTGCAAGCTTTGTTATTGTTTTACATTCACCTACCTTTCTAGAGAGCATATTTGTTTGAATTAGCTGTCAAGCCCATCGTAATTAATGTCCCTTTGCCAAGGAGGCAAGTGTCTTTAGGGCAAGTATGGTAACTGGATGTTGCTAACCAGATGCCAGGTACGAGGCCATGAGTGCTAATGAGACTTGAAACAACACAGTTCTCTTTGTCTACTTTTTTGGTCTCTTACTGTATGACATCGTGTTTGTGTTATCGGAGGATTTAACGCAGAGTGCAGCAAGAGTCCTGTGTCATTCTGTCCTGCCTGAAATCCTTCTGTTGCTTCAGGCAACAACCTCTGTTCACATAAGCTCATCTCTTGTACAAGAATTAGCCCACATAATCAATTATTCAGTTTATGCAAGTGAAATGAATACCAGGAAGCAATTGTACAAAGCAGTAATAAGACATTACCACAAAGCCAGAACGGCTGTAGGAAAGAATGGGAATTATCCTTCCTGGACACAGAGCCATTCATCCAAATTAGCAATACCCATTTTATAAGATCAATGTTTCAATGTATGTTAATTGATTTTACACACTCAAACTAACTACTTATCCTCCTTTCCTTCCTTCTTTGTCTCAAGTTCTTTTAGAAGACTGGTGGCTCCAATTTGAGTTTACTGTATACTCATTTCATGCAATATCAAGGGATATGCAAAAAATACTTTAACCTTATGGGAGCTGTTAAAAACATACATACTAATTTAGTCAGTCAGTTTATTCCCTAATGTCCTCTCCAACCCATAATGAACTAGGCTCCTTGGTATACAGAGACCCTGAGATGACGACAGCACAGATGGTGGAAATTCAACTTCTATGCAAGAAGACATGGAAACCGCCCTGAGTCCCCCCAGGGAGATAAAAGCGGTATATAAATAAGGTATTATTGTTGTTGTTGTTATTATTATTATTTTACTGACACAAAAGCACAGTATGTCACAGCAAACGAGATGTATAGGCCGAATTTCGTATCACAGAATCACAAGTCGAACACTTTCCAAGCGTCTAGGACTATATGGTGTATTTTTGAATGATGCGCACAGATCCAAGTAAGGTGGCCTTTTGCAGTTGACAGATTGTGATTTTGTCAATGTTTATTGTTTCCAAATGCCGACTGAGATATTTTGTCATGGCACCCAGTGCGCCAATGACCACTGAGACCACCTGTACTGGTTTAAGCCAGTGTCTTTGCAGTTCGATTTTGAGGTCTTGATAGCGGCTGAGTTTTTCCTGTCATTTTTCCTCAATGCGACTGTCATCTGGAATGGCTACATCACTACACATATTGCCATCTTATAGGAACAAAGAAATACTTGAAATAATAATAATAATATCAAGTATTTCTTTGTTCCTATAAGATGGCAATATGTGTAGTGAATCAAGTTTTCTTCTCTGCATGCACTGTGAATTAATGTCCAGCTGAGCTATTCGGGGAAGTGAGAGGTTTAACTCAGGGATCCTCCCCTCTGAACCCACTGCTAGCTCACTGTGATAACTAATGACCATCTCACAAATAAAATTTCATTGGCCATGCCTAGACTGTAATTTTTTTTTTGTCTGTCAGGAGCAACTTGAGAAAATGCAAGTCGCTTCCGGTGTGAGAGAATTGGCCGTCTGCAAGGACGTTGCCCAGGGGACGCCAGGATGGTTTGATGTTTTTATCATCCTTGTGGGAGGCTTCTCTCATGTCCCCACTTGAGGAGCTGGAGCTGATAGAGGGAGCTCATCCGCCTCTCCCCGGATTCGAACCTGCGACCTGTTGGTCTTCAATCCTGCCGGCACAGGGGTTTAACCCACTGTGCCACCGGGGGCTCCAACTGTGTAATGACTTACTGGGAAAGATTCAACAGCTAAATGAGCTATTCTAATTTAAAACACAAATAAGGACCTTTCTCTTCCAGGAAACCTAACCAGTCAACTTTAAAGCATAGGCACAAGTCTATAAGCACATGATAAATTATATTACTCTACCGGGATAAATTAATTTGTGACTTGGAAAAACCACTAGTGGGGATTTCCCATTTCACAGAAACAAATGGGATCGGAATATGAAACACAAATATTTCCCGGCAGTTCTACATTTTATTAGTATTGGTAGTTTAATCTTTGTTCTCTCTATGTCCTTTGATCTATGTATTTTAACTATGATGTATTTCACCTGGAGGAACAAGGGGTGGGTAGCAAAATCATCATCATTTTAAATTCCTTATTTTCTGAAGGCTTGTTACCACCCAGAAGCAGCAATCCAACCCATTCCTATAACAGTGGCATTAGCATCTGGGGGAATATAGGCCTCTCATTCTCACCCATTTTGCATGCCATTTACAGACGTAGTACATCCAGGTTATCTCCCAAGATTATCAGGCACTCAAAAATGCTGTACAATGCGGAGATCCAGTAACCTTTCCATTCCTTATACCCGACCGGGACGTCTGTCAATGGTAGCTGTGCTTCCAGCTATTTCTCACAATGATCCCAATGGAGTATTAATGAGGCTGGGATCCACATAAGAAAGGTGAATGACTGAAAGCAGAGTGCTTGTTTCTCTGCAGAACTTTCCTTCTTCTATCATCAGGGTCATACCAAGGTTAGATTTGACTGCAACACCAAGATTACCAGAGTTCCTGCAACCATTATCCGGATCACCTTTGGATTTTGTTTGCAGTCTACTTTAAGTTTTTCACACACACCTTGTCTTTTGACTGGCCCAAAGGGCAATAGCTGAGCAGGTTGTGGCCGATGCATCATTTTGAAGTTGTCAGTTTTGTATGACAGGTGTCAATTTTTTCTCTTATCTGTACAGTGCGAGTCTCTGGTGTAATCTTGTGAAGACTGTGTGTGCTGACTGTCCTCCACTGATCTCAAAGTGCAGTGGTGGCAGGTTTCAATGTTTGACCATCTGTCTCCAGGACATGTTGCACAAGTTCCTTGGGGGAACTCTAAAAGAACTGCTCCGAATCATTTTGGAAGCAGATATCCTTTACCGCAGTGGTTCCCAACCTGGGGTCCCCAGATGTTTTTGGCCTACAACTCCCAGAAATCCTAGCCAGTTTACCAGCTGTTAGGATTTCTGGGAGTTGAAGGCCAAAAACATCTGGGGACCCCGAGAACCACTGCTTTACCGAGATGACCTGGAGCTAAGGTACAGAATAGAAATTATAGTAAACTACCTCATAGTGATTTTACAGACTATGTAAAAAATCCAAAGTGATCAGATAAGATCTTGCACAGAACTGCCATTAAGGTTGCACAAGCAGCTGTGTCACATATACCATGCAGTTTCAGCTTCTGACTCCTGTTAGCCGCCTTTTAGAAAACTAGCAGATAGGGAAAAAAATGTTCAGAATATTTTCACATTTTGAATAATTGATTTATTTACTGAAAACAACTGGAACAGGAAAACGCTGTGGTAACAGATCCCGCCATTCATCATCCCCTTACAAAAGGTTCGTATTCACTCTCTCTCATTTTTACATAGTCAAAAACAATGCTGTCGCCAACCACAGAAGCAGAACAATGTGATACGACTACCTTGAAACATCTCCACTTGAAATCCAGGATTCGACCCTTAACTGAGAATGAGTGTGTCGCTTTTGTAAAAACTTACACTCCTTTCAAAAGATGCACCCTATGAGGCAAATCTTGCTCAATTTCTTTTAGATATGGAAGAATTAAATGGAAAAAAGAGAAACATCCTTTTTGTTGAGAATCTTGGGCATGATTGTGACATGCTCTCAATGCAACTGTCTGTCAAAGGACATTTCAGAGGATGAAAAAACACGTCTGGGAGAGTTCATTTCAACCAACAGGGAGGAACAAGAACTTCATTAGTCACCAGAGGAGGCTACATTGGTCCCATCAAAAAGGTCTCAATTTAGCTCAGAGATGGGCAACTCCAAGAGGTTGGGGAGCACAATGAAACTCACCCACAGGGACTCCATGCTGTCAAGGCTGGTGCCCAATTTCCAGTCAACTACTGCTGTTGACATTCAGCATGGATTATTGTGGTATAGCTACACCATAAAGAGCTGCCAGGACAGAGTGCCTCAAAAGATGGGTTTTTTTTCCTAACACTGTTTTGAATGACATGTTTTTGATGTCCTCTGCCTCAACACAGTCAATTTTAGTGGTATGGTTTCAGCAGTAGCAATAACTAGGGAGCAATAGAGACTGCAAAATACTTTGAGGGCATACTATGTACTAGGCATTTGCAGCTGAACTGAATATGCTATCACTTACATGGCAGCAAGCTTCCACTGTAACACTGGTGAAATTACAGTCAGTTACAATAAACTGTAACACAGAGGCATTGGATAATTTAGATGTACATGTTGTGCCCCTCCTCCTCTCTGCATTCAAAGACTCTTGCTTTTCAGTAAGCACTTGCATTCTTCTTTTCTAAAGAGTATACTGAACACAGTATACTCTTTAGTATTTTGAAATGTAGTAATTCGTATTTTGAAATGTAGTAATTTGAAAGCAAGAGTATTCATTCTGAAGCAGGTTTTTGGTGCCTAAGGACACAATCCAGTCTCATGTACCTTTAACAAAGGAGTTTAGCACTTATTTAAAAATATTGACACATTTAAGTCCTACTTATCTGTATTGCAGGAGATCTCAGCCCATGCATGACTTTTTGCATGGGAATCAATGGGCTTTGAAAGTGTTTTAAGCATGACTGGATCTTGCTGATGAAGTTGTGTAGTGCAACTGTGTTCAGTGATTTTGGAAGTGTGAGTCTGGAAGATAGCAACCCATTTGCGCATTTGCCTGGACTTGATTCCCTCCTTCATTGCTGCCCACAGACAGCACAGCCCTGTTGTGAGGTCATATATTCAGCTGCAGAAAGAGAAGTGTGTTGTCATTACAGTCATGCACAGAAAAACAACAAGACTGGATATCACAGAACAATTTTCAGCTTTACAACAAACAACGGGGGAAAACCATACTTTTACAAACACCAAGAAACATGCAAACACTCGAAAAATCTGAATAGAACTGTGAAAACGGAAAAAGGAGAGCCTAATGAAGGTTAAGACTGCTCTGTGCCAAAGCAAAAGGCATCTCCTGAAATGAAACAATGAGGTGTTGAGCTCTCTCATTCATGCACATGTCACAAAAATGGTCCATTGGAGAAGTGTGAAAGTTTTCACTCTTTGTTCAGACTCCAGTGTTGGTTCAGTGTACTTTAGGCACTAAGCAGTCTTGTTCCTTTTGGCATCACGTTAAGTTTCCACTTTGCTGTCGTCCTTCCCTTGGTTTTCTTTCCTTTGAGGACCGAGCTCAAAGGCTGGGAAGCGGGATTTCTCTGGGGCCAGTATGTCAGAGAGGAAGTGGATTGCTCCTGCCATACCTGGAATAGGCAAATCAAAAGCTCACAAAAAGAAGCAATCCTTCACACACAACTCGGTAGTTCCACAAAAATGTGAGATGAGATGAGGGAGAGGCTATGGAATCTCCAGTACACCTTCCACGGGCAGGATGATTAAACTAAACGGATCCCTTTCCAGGCCCCATCCCCCTGACATCATCTCCGGTTCCTAAGCTGCCAACCAGAAAAGCACACTTATAGCCACAACTCTGCTTGGGAGCCATCATCTCCCCACCCAGGCCTTCCTTTTGCCCGGTAAACTCAGACAGCCATTGGACTTAAGGTACCATCTACGAGAGGACTTAGAGGTGTTGTTTCACAGTAGCCCTGTTTCTTCCCAGAGATGTGTACCCAGAAGGTGGTGGTGGTACTCTTGTTCGAACCCCTGGCCACTGACCTGTGGGGTCCCTCAGGGTTCCTTTTTGTCCCCCATGTTGTTTAACATATATATGAAAATGCGGGGAGAAGTCATTTGGAATTCTAGAGTGTGGTGCCATCTATATGCACATGACACCCAACTCTACTCTTTCCCACCTAAAGCCAAGGAAGCTGCCCTGACCAATGTCTATCATCAGGAATGGATTGGAGAAGGGCAAACAAATTGAAATAGAGGTGTTCCTGGTCAGCTGGAAGGCAGATCAGAGAATAGTGAATCAGCTTGTGCTGAATGGGGTTACAATCCCCCTGAAGACACAGGTTTCTGAGGTGGCCAGGGGTGCCTCTGCACAATTAAAATTTGTGCACTAACTGCATCCATTCTTTGAGGTCCAGGATCTGGTCACAATGTTACCCTCCTTAGTCACATCCCATTTGGATTACTGTAATGCACTCTACATGGGGCTGCCTTTGAAGAGTGTTCGGAAACTTAATTTCGTCCAAAGAACTGCAGTCAGGTTGCTAACTGCGCCTGGTTAGAGGGAGTGGACAACCCCCCTGTTGTAGCAACTCCACTGGCTGCCGGTTTGTCTCCAGGCACAATTCAAAGTGCTTGTTATGACACATAAAGCTCTATATGGCTCAGGTTCAAGATTTTGAGTAATTGCATCTCCCTGAATGAACCTGCCTGGGCCATGAGATCATCAAGAGAGACCCTTCTCTTGGTTCCACCTCCACCACAAGCTCAGTTGGTGGGAAGGAGAGAGAGGGCCTTCTCAGTGGCTGCTGCTCGAACATCCTGCCCAGGGAAGCCAGATTGGCCCTCTTCCTGCCATCCTTCCATCGATAGGCTAAAATCTTTTTATTCCGTTAGGCTTTTAAAGAAGGAAGATTTTAAGAACCAGTTTTGGGGGGGGGGGTGCTGTGGTTTTAGTTATGAATAGGTTTTTAATCGGTTTTAAGGCTTTAAACTGTTCATTTTTAATGCCATTTATGTTTAATTCTATTTTAATGTTTCACCATAAACTGCCCTGAGTCTCTTTTATAGAGAGAAAAGTGGGGTAATAATAATAATATAATTATACTTATATAATAATATCATCATCAACATTATCTATAATCCCACTCCACTAATTTCATTCTCCAACAGATGACAACCTTAAACAGTGAACACTACATAATTCATTCACCAAAGTAACATATGGCACATCTTTCAATGGAAAGATCAGAATGTCTAATGATTCAATAAAAGTTCTGAAAGGTGCAAATTTATATTACATTGTTTGGGACCTTACCTATAGAATTACACAATTTATCCCACTGAGTTTGGGTTTTCTTCCATATAAATAGGGATAGGAATGGAATACTTATCTCTTTGAATATGAAAAAATGAGAGAAGTTGCAACATCTCAAATGCATAAATAAATAAGAAAGGTTTCATGGGGAAAATATAAGCACTTACAACATGTGTGGGTGGGTGGGGGGAGGGAGGGAGGGGAGTTACTTCAGCAGCGGCATTTCAATTCTCTATTTATTTATTTTTACAAAAAACACCCCAAGATTATGTAGGTATAACATATATTCCATTAAATGGAATAGCAGAGCAGTTCTATTCAGAAGTCAGTCTTAACTGTGCTAAATGGGGCCAACTTCATAGTGACTTGAATTTAAGTCATACTGCTTTGAATTTCCTCCTCTTTCTCCTGTACTTCATATAAACATTAGCAATAGATTGAAATCATAAAAAGGACTTGCCTTCAAAGAGCGAGTAGGGTCGATCAGGAATACGACATCCATGCGCACCATAGTCTAGACACCACTCTGCAAACTGTGATAAATTATGCAAATATAGGGAAAGAAATATTGACTGGGTATCTTGACAAGCAATATAAATGAATAAATACATAGGTTCAAGAGATACAAAATACCACACACAGTTCAAAAAGAGGAACTCATTGTGGTCAATTTGTCTAGATTAACATTTTGTACTTCAGTTCTACTAATCATTATGATATCAGGAAACTGGAAGGACAGCTTAAACGAAATCCACTCTGTACTGATTAATGTTTGTGCACTGAGTTAAAGTAACTGGAAACAGGGAAGTAAAGAAGCATTAGCAGCATGTCAATTCCAAGGAGAAATGGGCATCAGATTAAATCAGAGGACTGTGGTCTACATTAGAGGGCAACCGTTAGCATACGGTTAGGAAAACTATATCAGTGCTCTTCCCTGTTAGCCTGTTTGGAACTATCTCAAGACCCAATAACCTCTTGAAAATAAACTGACTTCCTTGAAAACAAGCATCTAGTAATTAAGAATAATGATCTTGGGCTTTTGTTTTGTTTGTTTCTCCTCAATTCTATCCTAATCAATATACTGACTTAATCAAGATGGAAAAGGGTAATGAATTTACCATCTTAGCAAAGCTTTTAAATGGTCATGAATGGAACTCAGGAGGAAAGGCATGTTACACGATAAGAGTGACAGACAATTATTTTCAAGGTTTCTCCCAGTAGTGGCATTGTTATTCCATTTTAACCTTCAACTAATGGTCCCCAGACCTTGATTCTATGATTCAAATCCCACTATTCTGCACAACTAGCAGCTCTGGCTCTTACCTAAACAGGACAGAGACCTGGAGCAAATAAAGATCTATAGACCAATTTCATTGGTTAACAACGATTATAAATTATTTGCGGAAATCTTAGCAAACAGGTTGTAACAAATACTAGCTAAAATAATACATGGGGATCAAGCAGGCTTTCTTCCAGGCAGACATCTAAGTCAAAATGTGAGAACGGTGATAGATATATTAGAGTACGCTGAACAAGACCCAAGCAGAGAGATTGCATTATTATTCTTAGATGCGYAGAAAGCATTTGACAACGTGCAATGGGACTACTTGATTAAAGTACTGGATCATTCTGGAGTGGGTCCACATTTCAGAAAGGCCARAGGAGCCATTTACTCAAGACAAAGGGCTAAACTAAAAATAAATGACCAAATGTCAAGTTATATAGAAATTCAAAAAGGAACAAGACAAGGCTGTCCCCTATCACCGCTATTGTTTATTTGGATATTAGAAATCTTGAACGGAAGAATTAGAGAAGCAAGTGAAATCAAAGGAGTTAAGGTAAAAGGGRATGAATTTAAAGGYAAAGCATATGCAGATGACGTGGTTTGTTTTTTAACGGACCCTTTAAGAAGCACGCAAAATTGGTATTTTTTGTGTTCCTCACATAATTGTCGCAGAATCCTTGTTTCTCTGCAGGAAAGGCAGTTTAAAAAACTATGAAATTGAGGTCTCCGGAGTTCGCCTCTGAAGCAAGGCATTTAAAAAAAAACTGAATTGGAGAACTTAGATCTTCCATTCTTCCTCCTTTCTCCAAAGAGCTCCATTTCATATTTTGTAAACTACCTTGCCTTTGGAGAAAGAAGGAAGGAAGCAGGAATCCTTCCTCCAAGGGAAGGCAATTATTAAAACCAAACAAACAGAAATAGAGCTGTTTGCCTGAGGCCGGATCATCGTTCCTTTCTTGGAGGCAACGCTGTCTATTTTTTAAAGTAAAAACAGAAACTGGAGAATCAAAGGCATTTTTTTCATTGCATAATAATCACATCCCCTTTTTTATTAAAAGGGGGGATAAAGTGTGACTGTTATGTGATGAAATATGGTATTTTAGATACAAAACTACTCTGGTATTTAGACAATATCTGATATAATTTCCAAGGCCTAAATGGACATTGTGATTATTATTTTTGTATGTTTATGGTTATTTCTTCAATTCTAAGACACACTTTTTCCCTATCTAAAAATGAGGTGTGTCTTAGATTTGCAGGTGTATCTTATGTATTTTTGTTGTTGGTGGTACCAAAATTAGGGTGTGTCTTACAATCAAACGTATTTTAAAACTGAATAAATACTGTAGTTTAATTATGTTTCAGTGTTGACATTTTGCACATTTTCAACTATAGTGTAATTCTTTTAATTTGGAAGCTGCCTTGCGTCCCAATTGGGGAGAAAAGCAGGAGATAAATAAAGATGGTGATGTTGATAATTTTCTCTTAGAAAATTCCTCTTCCCTTTTAGTATATACTAATTAACAAGTGAAGGAGGATCTGCCCTCTGTAATAACCAAAAACACATTTAGATGGCGAATAGGTGGACGGAGTCTTTTCAGAGGAAAAATATACCTTGCAAGCTCGGTAGAGGTACTTTTTATCCTGAGTGAGATGGTAGAGGGATAAGAAGGAGTAACCATTTCCCGCAGTCCCGTGACAAATACCGTAACCTTTCCTCAACAGTCCTCTCTGCCAAATGACATCACTGCATTCCATGGCATCCTTCAGATACTTCTCTTCTTTGAACACCTGTGGAAATGAACACAGAAACCAGGATGCCTAGTTCAAACTCTTACTTCATGGTGGAAGGTAGGTCACAAATCCACTGAGTATGTGAGTGCCCTCATCACAGTGCTCCCTTCCATATACTTAAGCACAACTTAATAAAAAGGAAATCAGATCTGCAATAAAAAAATTAAAGACAAATAAGGCCCCCGGCCCAGATGGGCTGAGCGCAATTTATTACAAAACAATGATGGAAGAAATCGTACCATTTCTAAAAAAAACGCTAAATGAGATAAGAGAGAGGAAGGAAATCCCAGAAAGCTGGAAACAAGCAAATATTTACATTATACCGAAGGAAAAAAAAGACCCTGAACAACTTAAAAATTATAGGCCAATCTCTTTACTTAATTTGGATTATAAAATATTTAGCAGCATATTGGCAGAGAGACTAAAGAATTTCTTAACAAATTGGATAAAAGAAGAACAATCGGGATTTCTACCAAATCGTTACCAACGTGAAAATGTGAGAACTATTATAAATCTGATTGACTATTACGACAAAAATATCCAAAAGGAAGTGATGTTCCTGGCCTTGGATGCTGAAAAGGCATTCGACCAGATCAATTGGAATTTTTTCAAACTACTATTGCAAGAGATGGACATTGGCTATTATTTTTTAAATTCAATTGAAGCTATTTACAAAAATCAACAAGCGAGAATCATAGTAAACGGCCAGGAAACAAAACAAATTGAAATAAATAAAGGAACCAGACAGGGCTGCCCGCTCTCGCCTCTGATCTTCATTTTAACAATGGAAATTTTACTGAATGAAATAAGGGGAAATAAAGAACTGAAAGGAGCCACAATTAGAGGACAAACATACAAATGTAGGGCATTTGCTGATGACGTTATTTGTATAATTGAGGATCCATCTACAAAATTAGAAAAATGGTTTGAAACAATTGAAAAATTTGGGAAGGTAGCGGGCTTTAAATTAAATATGGACAAAACAGAAGCAATAACAAAAAACATCCCCAAGAAGAATTTGGCTACAATTGAGAAAAAATGGAATATCAAAATAGCATCAAAAATAAAATATCTGGGAATTACTATCTCGCCAAATAACGCACAATTGCTTCAAAATAATTATACAATAAAATGGAATGAAATCAAACGAGATCTGGAAAAATGGAAAAATCTAAAATTATCAATATTAGGCAGGATAGCATGTGTAAAAATGAATATACTACCAAAAATGTTATTCCTATTTCAAAATTTACCAATCATAAGGAACAAGAAAGGCATAAACCAGTGGAATAAGGATATAAGGAAATTTATTTGGCAGAATAAGAAAAATAGAATAAGCTTTAAAAATATAACCGATGAGAAAAATAGAGGGGGATTGGCAATGCCGAACTTAGAGATATACGCAGAAGCATGTGCGCTAACATGGACACTCGACTGGATTAGGCTAGAAAATGAAAAACAGTTAAATTTGGAAGGCCACGACCTTAGGAAAGGGTGGCATGCATATATTTGGTACGGGAAAAGAAAAATAGAAAAGGGCTTTGGAAACCATTTCACCAGGTCGGCGATAATAAAAACGTGGGAGAAATATAAAGAAAGAATTTATAATAAAACCCCGTTATGGGTATCACCTCTAGAAGCCTGTCAAAGAAGAGAGCTGGGATGGATAAAGTGGCCTTGCTACAGAGTAATAACAGAAAAAAAAGACCAGGAGATACACCTAAAAACCCAAGAAGAAGTAAAGAAATTTTATCCAAACGTAACGTGGCTGCAATACAGACAACTAAAAGAATCTTTTACGATGGATAAAAAAATTGGCTTCATGCAAGAAGACAATATCTGGGACAAAATTATAAGATCCAGGAAAAAAACAATATCTTTAATATACAAAAAATTATTGGAATGGAATACGGAAGAAGAAAGAATAAAAGATTGTATGGTGAAATGGGCCAGTAATATAGGGAGACCAATAAATTTGGCAGAATGGGAAACCATATGGAAAAAAAATTAAAATATACGAAAGCGTATGATCTAAAAGAAAATTGGCTTAAACTATTCTATAGGTGGCACTTAACGCCCCAGAAATTGGGAAAATTTTATAAGAACTTAAACACCAAATGCTGGAAATGCGGAGAAATAACGGGCATGTACTTCCACATGTGGTGGAACTGCAAAAAAGCCAAAAGATTTTGGAAAGAAATCCAGGAAAGATTACAACATATAATGAAGATTAAAATTCCACTCTCCCCAGAAATATTCTTACTGGGAATAACAAAAGAGGAAACAGACAGGAATGTAGACAAATTACTATTCTTGGCGACAACAGCGGCGAGAATATGCTACGCCAGATATTGGAGAAAGGAAGAGATACCGGAGATTGACGAATGGGAGACGAAGCTTATGGAGGTAAAGAACATGGACAGACTAAGTTATCTAATCCAGAAAAGCAAAGGAATAGTAGAAAAAGAAACAGATTGGACAAGAATAGATGAATACTTCAAAGAGAAATGATCCAGAAATTAAAGATGGGAGAAGAGATATATCCAAGATCCAAACGAGAAACAGAACAAATAGGAAAAAAGAAAGCAATAAAACAAGAAGGAAAGAAAAGGAAACTCCTCGCTAAGGACACCCGGAAGACAGGCCGAAGGAAGGGGGAAACCTCGATTTTTGTCTCTATTACTTTTAATGCACTCTCTGCACCTCCCCTCTTTGACTTTCTATACCCTCACCCTTATCCACTCCATACTTCCTTAAGTCTATCTCCCAACCACTCTTCTTCCCTCTCCACTTTCCCCTATTCCCCCCCCCCTACTTTTTCTGACTCTCTATACTGATCTACTTTTAACTATTGTTCTCTTTTAATCATATGTATATGAAAAATGTGAATAAAGATTATATATATAAAAAAAGTAAAAAAATAAATAAAAACAACAATAACAACAATTGTAAAGTGAATCCTTGTGCCTTAATCTAGTAAAGAAGATCAATGTTTGGAAGTAACACATAGGTGTTAATGAATGTTTTTGTCTGTCTTGATATGTTCACTTATCTTCCATAAAGCTGGCTGGATGTCTCATTTGATGAATATATGTATTTTCCATTTAAGGTGTTGCAATGTGAGAAAGGATAAACCCCTGAGATAGGATTTGGGAGGCTTGGTCTCCACTCAGTCAGGAAGTTCATGTCGTTAATAGTTCTCTGAGCGTGCCTTGTTTACGTTATAGTAAAGTTACAATGGAGAGCATGATCGTTATGCACACTGCCTTGCCTTTTTCAAGGCATTGTAATATATAAACAAACCCAGATATTTATATACCACATTTCTAGTGATTTTTTTGTCGTGTCAGGAGCGACTTGAGAAACTGCAAGTCGCTTCTGGTGTGAGAGAATTGGCCGTCTGCAAGGACGTTGCCCAGGGGACGCCCGGATGATTTGATGTTTTATCATCCTTGTGGGAGGCTTCTCTCATGTCACCGCATGAGGAGCTGGAGCTGATAGAGGTCATCCACCTCTCCCCAGATTCGAACCTGCGACCTGTCGGTCTTCAGTCCTGCCGGCACAGGGGTTTAACCCACTGTGCCACCAGGGGCTCCATTTCTAGTGATGATAGTGTTTCCAACACATTAATGAATCCCAACAGCACCTATAAGGGTGCAGAAACAGAGTCAACCCAGTCTGACAAAAACAATTTTACAACCATCTTCCTTAGTGAAGTGGGACTGAATCTCTTTTCCATAAAGGATTGATAAAATAGTATGGCTGAGCATGGCTTAGCGTTGAGTAAGACAAGACTTTGAACAGTTAACCTCACTCTCTCTCCACACATAATGGTCCACATCAAAATTTCTTCTGAAAGTTTTTTCCAAGATGGCAGTTCCATCTTGTCTCCTGCACTGTGCTTATAATATAATATAATACAATATAATATATTGTATATACATATAATATTGATAATATTATAATGTAATACAATATAATAATAATATGCTATTATAATTATATATTTTATATTAAATGTAATATTACTAATAATATTATAGTATAATGTTATAGTACAATGTAATATATAATATTAATATTGTGCTATGGTAATAATATAATATATTGTGTTTACTTTTTACTTGTAAGCTGCTCTGAGTCCCCTTCGGGGTGAGAAGGGCGGCATATAAATGTTGTAAACAAACAAACAAATAAATAAAATTTCCATTTTTAAAAGCAATCAGTAACATAAAGGGAGATTAGATGGCTGTACTTAGAACAATTCCTGGTTTCTGGATCTTTATTTAGTTGGGCCAAAGTGTCACCTCATGCATCTAGGGTGGGTAGGAAACAATTTTGGCAATGCCTTGGGCTCCGTGAGTTGTTTTAAAGCCCCTCCTCTGGCACAAGATGAAGTAATGTAGGCAGCAAATTTTGAGTATCTCAAGAGGCAGAAAAATGATAGCTGTGTAACCTTTTTTTTACTACCACAGATGGGAACAGATACTTCAGGGATATCTACCTCAAATCTCAAAATAACTTGACTGGTGGGTACTGTGAACCAAGCTGTGAGTGGGTGGGACTGTCATTTGCTATTTAATCCCAAAAAGAAATCTCTACATGGCCGTTTACAGTTAATAAAAATATTTTAACCCACATAAGAGAGGAAGCCTAATGATACGTTCATAACAAGTATCATAGCATGACAAAGAAGGAACTGGAATGATCCCTCCACACTTTTTGAGCATCTACTAGGCTCCTGTTAGCAATCAAAAACATGCATGTTTCAGCCCATATATTTTTGCAAAACAAGGACATACTTTATATGCTTGCATGAGCATATGGATGACTCCTGGGGCACCATGACACCAATGCACCAGCCTGTCAGTTTCATTGCTTAAGGACGATGGATAATTCCCAGATCGGAATTTTTTATGACGCACATAATCAATGCTTGGTTTCACCAGTTCTGTCAAAGTCTCCTGATCCACGTTGGATGCTGGCTAAAAAGCAAAATTAGCATAACAAAGAAAGATTTCATTTACAGAGAAATAAGATGACACAGTCTGCACATTCCCACAAACGCATACTTGTCAGTTGTCATGCTGAGGAATCTGGAAAATGACTTCTAAAATTGTCTTGGTTTATCTTGGTTAAATGAGCCAATATAATGGTTGTACTGGCTGTTGTATTTAAATGCTGACTTTGTGCATTTCAACATGCAAAGAAAATCATATACTCTTGCTATGGAGAAAATGTGCAAGCTGAAATTCTGCACAATAAACCAAAGGCATGCCTGTGTTACATGGAAAAATCAAAGTCATTTCACCGCTGAAGTGACACAAGAAATGGCTATTTAAATGTTTGGGCTGTCAGACAGGCAGTCTCACAATTTCCACAGCATGGCACTGACTCATAATGGTAAGTCAGAAGTCATGGCTTATTTCGACTTACTGTGAATGAGCATATGGCCTGTTTGATACTCCTTTGCACCTCTCCTAGCAAAATGGGCAAGATTGACTTAGCATTATGGCTTATGAACAAGGATGACTTAGCATTATGTCTGAACCCAGGATTCCTAGCTTGTTGCTCCAAGACAAGCTAGAATCTCTAAGTCAGGGGTCCTCAAACTATGACCCGGGGGCCGGATACGGTCCTCCAAGGTCATTTACCTGGCCCTCGCTCAGGGTCAACCTAAGTCTGAAATGACTTGAAAGCACACAACAACAACAACAACAACAACAACAACTCTATCTCACTAGCCAAAAGCAGGCCCACACTTCCCATTGAAACACTAATAAGTTTATATTTGTTAAAATTGTACATTTTAATTATTGTATTGTTTTTAAGTGTTTTTGCACTATAAATAAGATATGTGCAGTGTGTATAGGAATTCATTCATGCTTTTTTCAAATTATAATCCGGACCTCCAACAGTTTGAGGGACTGTGACCTGGCCCTCTGTTTAAAAAGTTTGTGGATCCCTGCTCTAAGTCAACAACAACCTCAGGATTAGTGGTGGCTGTGGTCCGGCTTGTCTGGCAGCAAAAAAACAAAATTTATATCAGAGACCATAAGCGTTAGAAACAGTTTTATAAACAAAAGAAAAATCTGATTTTTTTTTTAAAAGGAAATTTGTTTACTTGGGACCATGAAATTCACACAGTCTGATCATCAACTAAAAGCACATAAGTAAAATACTTAAGGGATACTTGATATATGGGCAGTTTTCTCAGACATTAACAGTGTGGATGCTAGATTTTAGGGCTGTGCAAGCATTCATTTGTAACTTGTTTGTTGTATCTATTTCATAAGATTCATACATAAAAAGTGATATTTAGAAATGCGAGGGGCCGCCATGCAAAAAACTTATGATTCAAAACCCTGACCTATGACTTTAGGATGAGTTGAGTAGGATGAGTTGAGTTCCTAATGTTTAGTTGAAATATATTGTCCTGTGATTTGAATCTGTTTCTCCATGCCCTGATTTCTAGAACAGCAGAAAACAAGCTTTCCCTCTCTTCAATATAGCATCATTTCAAATATTTAAACTTCTCCATGCTAAGCACACCCAGCTCCCTAAACTGTTCCTCATAGGGCCTGTTGTCACCTATACCACATCTGCATTTTATTTCATGCAGTACCTTTTCTCCCTGTAGAATTACATTTTTTGGGGGTTTGGCCCAGCTCTCTAATCGGTTAAGGTTATTTTTTTTATTTTGATCCTGTTCTATATATCCCAAGTTGGTGTTATCTGCAAATTTGATAATTATGCCTTCCATGGAGTATTACCTGCATAAGCATATAGTAGATCCCAGCCATGCCATGGGCTGCACCAACATACTGCTTCTTGTGCCACTGGTACAAAAGTGGGCACCGTTCAGTCTTTCGTTCTTCTCTGGAAAGATTTTTACCTGATTCAATGATGCAATCCACTACCTAATGTAAACAGAAATACAATAAACGATTATTCTGGGAAAAACTCCTTACATCTGTACACTATGCTCTGCGGCCAAGTCATTCTTAAAAGGAACATAAAGAAATCAGACACAAAAGATCCACTCAACTTAAAACTATTTTTTCACCTGCAATAAATAATAATAATAATAATAATAATAATAATTATAATAATAATAATTATTATTATTTACAGTATTTATATTCCGCCCTTCTCACCCCGCAGGGGACTCAGGGTGGATTACAATGTACACAAATATGGCAAACATTCAATGCTAAACAACACAACAGATATAGACAAATAGTCAGAGCCTATTTAACTTTTCTGGCCGCCAGGGGAGCTGTCACTTTCATCGTCCATCTGTGACACTGATGAAGTACTTCCGCATTTCCCGCATGCTTTTGCTGGAGTGCTTTGCTGGTGTCCTTTTTTTATGGCCTCGTAAATGAGTTAAATTAGCCTCCCCACACATAGGTGGTACCTAATTTTCCTACTTGACAGATGCAACTGTCTTTCGGGTTGCAAAGGTCGACAACAAGCTACACAATTGGTCGGAAGCTCACTCTGACCCGGGCTGGCTTCGAACTCATGACCTTAGGGTCAGAAGTGATCTTAATGCAGCTGACACTCAGACAGCTGTGCCACAGTCCCGGTGCATTATGGAAACAGTGGGTATTGGTTTTGCTGCAACTGCATTCTCTGATCTAATCCTTTGGTTGTAGGAGGATCAAAGACTCATCCAGGTAGCAGTCCTGTTGACATGTCTTCTGTTCCATTACAATCAACAATGTATGGCTGGTAAAAGGTATATTGCCTATGCATTGCTGCAAAGTTAAAGTTTTAAAATATAGTTACAGCAAAGCCGGAGAAAGGTTTTAAGGGCAGGAATTACAGGTCCCCAGACTTCTAGGCCACCTGGTCAAAAAGTAAATTTTTCAAAGATCTGAACTTGTTTGAATGCTGCTGGCAATTATGGGGCAGTGTTTGGTACCATTATTGTTAAATCACAACTTCTCACATGTCTATACCATTTTTTTTCCATGTCTGAGACATTTTAAAGACATGTTTTGTAATTATTGCCAGTGGATCTGTCCTACTTTTCTCATAGGCATATACTTTCTGTAGCAGTGACTGAGCACTACGTGGATCCTTTGTTGTGGTTTTTTTTATATGGTTCCTTTAATGTTAAACAGTCTAATTCTTCAATCGGATCCCCTATTTCTTTTGCAAAGGAGAAAAAAAAGAGTACAGCAACACCTCACCCCAGAAGATTTACCACATGATAGGATTATATGCTGGGACAGGATTTCATGCCTTCCATTGGTTCTGGATGAAGAGAATAATGGGTAAATGACTGAGGAAAATGTAAGCTTAATAAAACAATTATCTGAAAAAGCAGGGTAGTTCAGAAAAGTAGGAGACAGCTTTCTGTGATCTAAGCTGCCAATGGAAACAGATAAATTGACATAAAATGTGAAAAACAAAATGCCCTGCATTCTCTCCACTCAAAGAAAATGACTCTGCAGCAGGGCCAGCCAAGAGGCAAGAAATTAGGGGTCCTTGCAAGAAATGTCAATATAACAGTATGATTTCCCTTTAATGCCAAGGATGAATGCTATGCAGCCCTGGGATCTGTAGTTTGTTGAGGCACTAGACGAGCTCTCTGGTTAATTTTAACCCCCCTCTCTAAACTGCACATTTCAGCATCCACAAAATGGAACCATAACAATTAAAACTGAATCATACTGCTATATTTTTATAGTGTGAAATACAAGGTGCAGCATAATTGCCATTTTATTTAGAAGCTTGAATTATATAATCCCACAAGATCAACCACTCAAGCAAAATTTGCTTCCTGAGACAAAATTCTCCTGTCTAAGGGCAAGGCTGGGTCTCTTCTGTATGAGGACCACCCCAGGAACTGCCTACTATTCAAGGAAAAAGACATTTTGGAACCCTTACCTCTTTGATAAAAGACTGTGGTACTGTCTCGGGACCAATTTCAGTATTCAAATACAGCAAGGCATACAGGTAACCAGCTCTTCCATAAAGCAGTTCATCTGGAAGGTCAGCATCTGTGGCAAGGACTATTCTCTGGAGTTGCAAAAGTCTGAATCAAGAGAGAAATGGAGAATTAATTGACCTGTCTCACAATTTAGATCTCACTCATTAGATGGTGTCAGCCAAGAGCAAAGGGAGAGCAGGGTTACTGCTCCAACACTGGGAAAGTTTTACATGAATGGAAGAGAAACAGCTTCTTGTAAGTGTGCCAAACGTGACCAATATAGGAGATTTATATACTGCTTGTATTCTCTGAGGTTAGCTAAAATCTTCCAATAGGTGCCTAAGGTGTGTAGAAATGGAATTGATCTTCAAATCAATAATACATATTCTGAGCTACCCTTTGTGATTCTGAATGGCCACTGAAAACTTCTGTGCAGAGTAGGATATGACACTTTTCCTTATTACACAACGAATCTCATGAAACGTGTGTGTGTGTATATATAAATAAATAAATAAATAAATAAAAATGTAATGTTCGTTTGTGGGATTAACATAACTCAAAAACCACTAGACAAATAGCCGCCAAATTTGGCCACAAGACACCTACTAACCTAAGGAGTGACCATCACTCAAAAATTGATTTTGTCATTTGAGAGTTGTAGTTGCTGGGATTTATAGTACACCTACAATCAAAGAGCATTCTGAACTCCACCAATGATGGAAATGAACCAAACATGGCACACAGGACCCTCAAGACCAACAGAAAACAGTAGAAAGGTTTGGTGGGCATTGACCTTGAGTTTGGGAGTTGTAGTTCACCTATATCCAGAGAGCACTGTGGACTCAAACAATGATGGATAAGGGCATTCCATATGCCCAAATATGGACACAGATGGAGTTTGGGGGAAATAGACCTTGACATTTGGGAGTTGTATTTGCTGGGATTTATAGTTCACCTACAATCAAAGAGCATTCTGAACCCCACCGAGGACAGAATTGGGGCACACTTCCCACACAGAACCCTCATGACCAACAGAAAATACTTAAGGCCATCAAGTCCAACTCCCTTCACCAGGGCAAGAAAACGTAATCAAAGCCCTCCTGACAAAGAGCCATCCAGCCATAGATATAGATAGATATGATTCACACACACACAGATATAGTATCATAGATTTGAAAGGGACCCCTAAAGAAGGACAATTATATGTTGCATGTTCCAGAGTAGGCAAACCAGACAATCTCCACATCAACAGTGGTAAAGAAACAGCAAGAAATACTGTTGACCCACAAGCATAAAGAAATTACATATATTACAAACCAACACTTTCTCATTACTTTATTTTCCAGATCACCAGACTGGGCCACAGCAACGCGTGGCAGGGGACAGCTAGTGTATTTATTTATTTATTTATTTACGGCATTTATATGCCGCCCTTCTCACCCCGAAGGGGACTCAGAGCGGCTTAAAATATATATTTTCATACAATATATTACATTATTAGCATAGTACAATATCAGTATTATATATTGCTATATTGCACTATACCATTGTATTGTAATATTATTAGTAATATTACATGTAATGTAAATATATAATTATTATTATAATATTGAATTATTATTACTAGTATTATATTGTATTACATTATAATAGTATAAATATTATATGTATAAATAAAAATAGTATAAATATTACATTATATTGGGTTAGTGTATGTATGTATGTGTGTATGTATGTGTATATATATATGTGTGTGTGTGTGTTATATTTCTTTTTTCACATGGATTCAGTGGTTTCTCATTATGTTTGCGCAACACGCCTACACACTGCAGCTGACACACTAATGTGTTGCAACACACAGTTTGGAAAGCTCTGGTCAAGGTATTTAATTTTTCTTCGCCTAACGCTCTTGTTACATCCCGATTAGATTACTGCAACGCGCTCTACGTGGGGTTGCCTTTGAAGACTATTCGGAAACTCCAACTAGTCCAGCGGGAGGCAGCAAGATTGCTCACCGGAGCGTCATACAGGGAGCATACCACCCCCCTGTTGTGTCAGCTCCACTGGCTGCCGATCCAATTCCGAGCACAATTCAAAGTGCTGATTTTGACCTACAAAACCCTATATGGCTCCGGCCCAGTGTATCTGTCCGAACGGATCTCACTTTACGTCCCACCCCGGAGTCTAAGATCTTCTGGGGAGGCCCTGCTCTCAACCCCGCCTCTATCACAAGTGAGTTTGGCGGGGATGAGGAGCAGGGCCTTCTCGGTGGTGGCCCCCTACCTGTGGAATTCGCTCCCCGGGGAAATTAGATCAGCGACATCACTCCTTTCCTTCAGGAAAAAATTGAAAACTTGGATTTGGGACCAGGCATTCAGACAATCGGGCAGATAAAGAAAGGACCTTGAGAATGGCCAGGAAATGATTAACGGAATGGAATTCGGAACTCTGAAAGACGAACGCTGAACATGTGAATAGTTTTGTATATGATGTGAAGTATATTGATTGTTTTAACTGTGATAATTGTTTTTAACTATGGTTTTGTACACTATGTGTAACTTTTGTATAGGCATCGAATTGTGCCTTTTGTAAGCCGCCCTGAGACCCCCCTCGGGGGTTGAGAAGGGCGGGGTAAAAGTACCCGAAATAAATAAATAAATAAATAAATAAAACAGTCCAGTTGAATCCAAACAAAAGTACTTTTCTCAGCACAGAAAAGAGTTCATCTGAATGGAAATATTCGTATTAAAAGCGTTATGCCAGAGATTAATCTCATGGAGAGTCTGGATTAGAAGGAGATTGATTAAACTTCTAAATATAAACTGCACCAACATGGCTATGGGCTGTATCCTCCAGAGCTGCAATATCAGATACAGGGAGAGATGCTGGGAGAATGCTATCAGGCATGGCCACAACACAGAATAAAAATGCACTTGGGTATTTAGAACCCACCAAAGGTCACTGTTGTGCCAGTTCTGAAGTAGGAGAGTGATGAGAAACCAGTTCAGAAACATTCAAATCCATTCTTAAAAACAAAAACAGGGATGGAAACATTAGAAGAAGCAAAATGGAACAAGGAGGACAGAGTTTGCTCACGCTGCAGGGGGAAAGTGATTTCAACCAGCCACAGGCAATTAACTGAGTCAGAATGTATCAACCTGATGTAGTAGCTCACTTTGCTTTATGAGGTGCTTCTGCTGTCCTCAGGATCTTTAAATCATTCAGTGAACTGAAATGACCTTCCTTCTGCATATTCTTACTGATCTGACGTATAGCAATTTGGGGAAGTCTACAAGACTAAGTTTAAAATGCCCAAGATTATGAAGTGATAATAAACAAGCACAAAGATGTGGATATACTAACTGATGCTTAACTTATTCAAAATGCAACAGAAATACAATTGAGCCAGTTTGCTCCAAATATTTAGATTGCTTAAAATAGGAGGAGAAATAATGTGGCTTTCCAGATATTACTGGATTGAAAATTACAATACTCCACATTATTGGCAAAGTTGGCTAAGGACAGCTAGAGAGATGCAGAACTCCAACACCAATTCAAACACTTTGGTAATCCCATCTTGAAAAAAAACCCAATTCGTTGCAGAGTACATAATGAAAATATATATGGTGTTGTGTTCCTTTACGACATTTCTAACATATCACAGGATATTCTTGGCAAGATTTGTCCAGAGGAGGTTATGCCTTTCCCTTCTTCTGAGGCTAGAAGAGGGTGATTTGTCTAAGCTCATCCAGTGAGTGTTGATGACCAAGCAAGATTTCAAACTCTGGTCTCTAGAGTTGTAGTCCAATAGTCCAACTCTCATACTACAAAGGATCTGACTATAGCTAGAACTACTATGTTGTTGTTCATTCGTTCAGTCGTCTCTGACTCTTCGTGACCTCATGGACCAGTCCACGCCAGAGCTCCCTGTCGGCCATCACCACCCCAGCTCCTTCAAGGTCAGTCCAGTCACTTCAAGGATGCCATCCATCCATCTTGCCCTTGGTCGGCCCCTCTTCCTTTTGCCTTCCACTTTCCCCAGCATCATTGTCTTCTCTAGGCTTTGCTGTCCTCATGATGTGGCCAAAGTACTTCAACTTTGTCTCTAGTATCCTTCCCTCCAATGAGCAGTCGGGCTTTATTTCCTGGAGGATGGACTGGTTGGATCTTCTCGCAGTCCAAGGCACTCTCAGAACTTTCCTCCAACACCACAGCTCAAATGCAACTATCTTCCTTCGCTCAGCCTTCCCTAAGGTCCAGCTCTCACATCCGTAGGTTACTACAGGGAATACCATGGCTTTGACTAGGCGGATCTTTGTTGCCAGTGTGATGTCTCTACTCTTTACTATTTTATCGAGACTGGACATTGCTCTCCTCCCAAGAAGTAAGCGTCTTCTGATTTCCTGGCCACAGTCTGCATCTGCAGTAATCTTTGCACCTAGAAATACAAAGTCTGTCACGGCCTCCACATTTTCTACTACTGTCACGGCCTCCACATTTTCTACTACTACTATAGAACTACTATAAATCTATATAAATAAAAATGTCATGTCCGTTTGTGGGATTAACAGAACTCAAAAACCACTGGACGAATTGACATCAAATTTGGACACAAGACACCTAACAACCCAAAGCTTCTTTGTAACAGAGTGTTAAGGTGGATGGACACTGCGTAATACAACCTCACAAATACTTGTTCAGCAGGAATGTATGTCCTTCACTAAAAAAAAAAAATGACTTTGTCATTTGGGAGTTGTAGTTGCTGGGATTTATAGTTCACCTACAATCAAAGAGCATTCTGAACCCCACCAAGGATGGAATTGAACCAAACTTGGCACACAGTTCTCCCATGACCAGTAGAAAATACTGGAAGGGTTTGGTGGGCAGCGTCCTTTGGTTTTGGAGTTGTAGTTCACCTATATCCAGAGAGCACTGTGGACTCAAACAATGATGGATCTGGACCAAACTCTACACGAATATTCAATCAGCCCAAATGTGAACACTAGTGGAGTTTGGGGAAAATAGAATCTTTACATTTGGGAGTTGTAGTTGCTGGGATTTGTAGTTCACCTACAATCACAGAGCATTCAGAACCTCACCAATGATAGAATTGGGCCAAACCTCCCACACAGAACCCTCATGACCACCACAGAGGGCCACAGCAATGCGTGGCAGGGGATGGCTAGTATTCAATATGCAATGATTGCATGCAAAATAAGCGCCACATAAAAATATGGAAATATCTCAACACATTTTTAAAGCAACCAAGGTCTTCAAACATGAGTGAAAACAAGAAGAGTCTTATTGGCATCCTGATTATCACATGTAACTGTGCCCTTCCTGCATATTGAAGGGTTTTAGAGCCTGTGGCTAGAAATCTCCTTGGTAACAGAGTGTTAAAGTGGATGGACCTTGCACAATACAACCTCATAAATACTTGTTTGGCAGGAATTGTCATTGATCCAGGTCTTCGGCTAGTGGATGCAGCAGCACATTGAACATGGAACTGGACCTGACGACTGTTATGATAATTGGAAACGGATATATGATTATGTGATTATATAATTAATTGTTACTTTTTAAACTTTTTTGTATTTATGTTTTTATACTGATGTTATTGATATTGTGGCATCGAATTGCTGCCTGTGTTAGCTGCTCTGAGTCCTGTCCCCCCCACCGGGGGGTTTGAGAAGGGCGGGGTAAAAATGCTGTAAATAAATAAATAAATAAATAAATTTAAGTGGACCTTGCTCTGTACCTACAAATTCCTCTTTCGACCCTATTGCTTTTGCGCACTGCATAGACGCTAAAGCTCACAGCAATATGCTTTGCAATATGCTCACAGCAATATGCTGTAAAGAATTTCTGTGTTTTCTTAGGCAAGGAATACGCAAAATTGGTTTTGCCAGTTGCTTTCTCTGAAATGTAGTATATTGCACCTGGCTATTCAGTGATGGGCTTCCATCCAAGTACTAAGCAGGGCTCACTCTACTTATCTTTCAGGTCTGGTGCCTTTAGAGTATTTAGGCCTCTTGTAATAATATCCTACTAAATTAAATAAGAAATGGTCCGAAGCCTGAAAATAGCCTTTGAAAAGGTTTCACTCTTAGTTGTTTATATGCTTCTTTAATGTATCCCGTGCAAGGTATTATTTTACATGTTCTGCTTTGTTATGTTACATTTGTTCCTGACGTGTGCCAACTTATGGCGACCCTAAGGTTAGCCTATCATAGGGTTTTCTTGGAAAGATTTGTTCAGAGGGCCTTTGTTTCTCTGTGACGCTGAGAGGGAGATCACTCAGTGGTCAAGCTGATATTTGAACCTGTTCTCCAGATTCCAATGCTCACTTCCAGGAAACTACCTCTGAGTGAGTATGCTTATTTGTCCACCTAGTTCAATACTGGCTACATTATCTGGTAACAACTATCTGGAGCAAGAAACTTTCTTAGCGCTTTTACCTGAAGATGCCAAGAATTAAACTTGTGACTTTCCGTATATAATGCAAATGCTCTACCACACATATTAAAAGGCAAGGTATAATGTACAAAACAGGAACAGGAACAATAACTTCAATACATTTTTTATGGTCTTCAATATGGATAATTAAAAAACCATATTTCACTATTGATTAACCGATTTATATTTTATTTGCTTTATTTATACCCTGCCTTTCTCCCCATGGGGACTCAAGGTGAATTGTTACAGACTTTGTTCACCAAGCTGTAGCTCATGCTGAATACCAAATAAGGTTTAATAGATTTATAGTCAAGCCTGGCCTTAGGGGTGGACAAGCAGGGCACTCTCTCTGGGCAATGAAACAAAGAAGCAGAGTAATGAATTCAACTTGGAGACTTTGCTGAGTAGTATATTGTTTGCAGCGAGTGAGACTGAAACAAACCAGTAAACATCTTTATCCTCTCTTTCAAAGCTCAATCCCCAGTTGGAACTGGAAAACACATCAGCTCTGCAGATTCTTCTGAACTGCAACTCCCAGTAGCCTTCCTCATTGGCTATGATAACTAAGGCTGTTAGAATTTATAGTCCAACAACTTCTTAAGGATGGTACATTCCGCACCACTGCTTTAGAGGTTGTTTCAATGCCAACTATGAAATAAAATTTAATAAACTGTCTTCAAAGCATAATTATTGTTCAATATTGAGTCTACTGCCTTGAGTCGCCTTCAGGCTGAGAAAGGCGGTATATAAATATCATAAATAAAAAAATAATACTATCCCTAATTCTAGATAAAACTCAGTAGAAAATGAATTTATTTTGAGGTGCTATTGCTAAGCACATGAAATACATTCAACATGCTACACAGTGTAGTTTTTATAATAAACTGTAAGGTGATAGATGGATATCAAAAGTACTATTGATCCAAGGCCAGCCATTAAGAATACACACACACACACACAAGTAAACCCAGGCACTTACTTTGTTATGCACTCCTTGGATTCAGTGTCATTCTTCAACTTATGGTACACCACTGCTCCCACAGCCAAAGGTCCAGCATCACCACAAAGGAAGGTAACCCGTCTGCCATTCAGATTCCGAAGGATTCGCTTCACATAATCCAAGGATCTCTGGAGGTCACTTGGCTCCATTGTCACACGGTACAGCTGAAGGTACAGGAGGGCTATACCTGCAGTTTGCATACAGAAGAGAAAATAAATACAATTTCCCATTTTTTCTGTGTCTCTCACCCCAATAGCCAATAAGGAGAATTATGCTGTTTTCGTTATTACTTTAAATCCATATCAATACCTGTAAGCATTGTTAAAAAGTCAGAACTGTTAAATGCATATCTGCAAACTACAACAGGAGACTTCTTCTTCTTCTTCCTACTCTCAATTTCTATTCAAAAAAGAAATCTCGGGGCAAGGAGACTAACTTCCCAAAGACGGAGCTGTAATTCCAGAGCACTCCTACTAGAGGACCATGAGGTAGAAACTAAACTTACCACATTCTCACTCCAATACTGCCAAAAACAATACAAATTGCTGGGATACTTATATGCTCACACAACTGAAAAACAACTCTGTATACTTATCAATTATGCTATCTACTTGCGCTACTAAGATCTATTATATTGTAATTATGCATTTAATTTTCCTAATTTAGGCAACTGCCACTCATTCTCAAAATGGACTGGTGAATCTACATTCAGTTCTACTTGTTAGAAAGCTTGTGGGTGACTCAAGCATTGATCCAGTGAAATTAGAGGAAAAAGGAATGCAGCATTGGCTACATTATACCCGAACTACATTTCTGAGCTGGTAAAGTGCATGGACCATATCAATTCTGATATGCTAAAAATGTATTTCCCCTTCACTGAAGCAAAGCAGATGTGGGGGAAGACAAATATGTAGAACATGTTACTCTTTCCACAAGATTTGAGTAGTAAAAGGGAATTTTAAGGGAGATGCTGTACAACAAACAAAAGGATACACCACATAAAACATGATGGAAAATAGACAAAACTCTCAAGTATAAAAGTATATACTTGAATACTGAATTTAAGATGTTCCAGGCCATCATATTTCTGATTTCTATGGTTGTGAAATAGATTTACAACCTGGGCAAAGAAGGAAACTGATAGAAAGAAAATCAACTCATTTGAAATGTGCTAGAGGAAAGTTCTTTGAGTACCACGGGATACTAGAAAAACAAATAAAATGAATCCTCAAGGAAATCAATCCTGAACTCTTCCCTAAAAGCCAAATGGACTAAACTTGACCGTATTGGAACAGTTATCCTTTGGACATACCATATGAAGATATGAGTCATCAAAAAAGACAATAGTCCAAGGCATGGTAAAAGAAAGACATGAAGAGGGAGATTGAGGGACTCAATCTTAGAAACCATGACCCCCAGTTTGGAAGACGTGAGAGGGGCTGTTAGTAACAAGGTGACTTTGAGGTCTGTCATTCATAAGATCACTATAAGAGTGAAATTGACTTGACAGCAGTTGACAACATCGCCCTAGCATAAGTGAAGTGATACATGATGCAGACTTGGTTTGAAGCAAAAATAATCTTTTTTTTCAGATTTATGTATTTCATCATGTTTAATGCATACTTCAAACTGAAAAAGCAGCTTGAAATAAAAGCACAATTCCTAGCATCAGGTTTGCAAATTAAAATGCATGAATGCATGCATGATGCAAGGGAAAGGGGGGGGCAGAGAAGAGGAAAACAAGAAAATGCAGGCATCACTGTGTGTCCAGGCTTTGTTTGTTGTTGTTGTTCTTTGCAATTAATAGCTAGGGCAGAAACAGTTCCGGGAGAGGAGGAGTTTGCTGGACATGGCTTCTCAAGAGAGGCGATGGAGTCGCCTTGTTTCCTGCCCTCATTCTCTGTAAACTGGTGCAATGGCTGTGGCCAGGTGACAGTTGCAGGAGAGAAGTGCCACATAGATTTGGCATCTCAACAGAGTCAGTGGAGATACAAAGTATGTTTGGGCTTCATGCTTTTCAGATTTCACGTCAGTCCCTTAAAAGAGTTGAAGTCTTAAATAAGATGGCCCACATTCAACGATTAAAGATCAGTATTTTTGTACTTGTTCCTTATTGTAAGAATTTGATGTGTTCTCAACAGATGGCTCTGTGGGAGATGTGACAAAATTATGGTATTTGTGCTTGGCTTATTTAATAGGATCTAAAAATGGGGACAGCTTTCTGGTGTTGAAGTGTGTGTGTGTGTGTGTGTGTGTGTGTGTGTAAATAGCTGCTTCTTGCTTGCTGTTTCTTTGGAAAGAAAATGGAACAAAGTTTTGCTGCCAGAATCGAAGAATTTATCATGAACTCACTCTAGTCAAAAGGGGAGTGAAACAAATTAACGTTTCACTTGGAATAACAAGAGAGATAGATGAGTAATATTAATCCCTAGTCTTTCTTCAGTAATCCATGCACATAGATCTTTAAAAACTGAAGATATATTATTTGAATGTATGTTAAGTACATAAGTATTCACATATGCTTTAAGATTTCTAAATGGTTCTGGCCCTACTTACCTCTCCGAATGCATCTCCTCCTATGAACCAACTAGGACATTAAGATTATCTGGGGAGGCCCTGCTCTTGCCTGGCAAGAATGAGAGACAGGGCCTTCTCAGTAGTGGCCCCATGGCTGTGGAATGCCCTTCCTATAGATATCAGATTGGCCCCATCCCTATTGGCGTTTCGGAGGAAAGTGCATTCGATTAAGCAGTGTAATGAATATAGGAACACGGATTAACGGATGATGAGATTGGGTTCTGATTTTACTGATGAGACGCTAATGATTGTTATATTGATGTTTAATTGTTGATGATGGTATTGTTTCAACTGTCCCATAATTGTTTTATGATGTTTTGCATTGAATTTTGCTGTTGTTAACTGCTTTGAGTCACCTGAGGGCTGAGAAAAGCGGTATATAAATGAAGTAAATAAATAAATAAATAAATAATTTTCTCACATTTTTGAAGAAGCAAAGGAGAATAATAGAGACATCAGAATGTAGTACAATATGTTTCTTCTTTTGCTGTCCAGCTCCAGGAATAAGGATACCAGGCACAGACATTGAATGAAATAAGGGCCATTTTTTAATTTTTTTAATTTTATTTGTTTCTTGAGGCTGAGAAGAATTAAAAACAAGGGGAGAAAATGGTGTGGGAGCAACTGGGGGAGTAGGTTTAATCCAGGCCACACACCCCAGCCTCCCTTGGAGGAAACCACCATAGCTACCAAGAGAAGTCCCTGATATTCAGAGTTACTCCCAGGCTAGCCATAAACGGGAAGGTAGACCAGAAGGGGTTATTGTGTTTGGATTACTGGGCCCGATTTGTTTTCCTGAGTTGAAGAAAGAACATATTTTCCTCTGCTACATCTTTTGGAATTTAAGGCAGCTTTCACTAGGACCATTGGCAGATTTGGTTACTCTTGATTTTTCCTGGCTGGATGTTGGGATTTGTACTGCAGGTGCCAGGAAGGTTGGTAAATTCGAAGGACTGTTTAGTGTGTTAAGTAAGTCACCTAGGTGTTCAGTTATTACTGTTTGCTCTTCCTTGTTCAATTTTTGGAACGTTTTAAAAAGGACAAGTTCGTCTTCATCCCAGATCGTTTTTGTTCTGGTAACAGGTGGTAAAGCTCTCTCAGAATTTGATCCAAGTATTCCGGTTTTAATGTTGTAGGACTGTTTCTTCCAGTTGAAGTGTTTAGGAGGATATATTTTCCCTGAGGAATTTATCTGAGACTTAGATGGACAGTTTGTAATGATGGGAATTGGCCCACTTTTGGTATGTGATTTCCAATAAGAGGCCTTATTCCAGTCTCCTCAAACACTCTGTTTATGAAAATTCCAAATTTATGATGCATAGAGAGTAACAACTGTAGAATTAGAGGATTGGTAAAAGCTACAATAAATCTTTTATGGAACTGTCTTTTTGGGAGCCAAATCAATGAATGGAGATTTATCTGTCTTATAGAAAGAAGGGTGTAAGCTCTCAAGCTGCATGGCACCACAGAGGGACAAAGACTTCAAGGACTTCCTCAAGGACTTCATTTTCCCCAAACCCCTCAATTAATTGAAAGATACCCTGGGCAGTTCCAGGAACCCATACTTCATCAAAATTGTGCCAGGAGGTGCTCATTGAATCAAATTACCCATCTATACCTGCCATGAAAATCTATTTAGGACACCACCTTAGTCCAATTCCTTGACTTTTCCATATCAGTTTAGAATAGGGGGAGGCACAAATGAGGGTGGGGATGAGATTTCCTACTGTGAAGTGAGCAGTAATCCTTAGACTGTACAAGGAGGTGGCATGATGGATCGACAAGTACCAAAATAGAGAGGAAAGAGGACAACACTGCCATGAAAAGACCAACAGGGCCCAGGGCCCCCTTTTATTCACAGTCCTGTAACTTCAGGACCATGAGGCCAGCGCCTTTCTTTGAAAGCCAGCAATATGATATCTTCTATATCTCTGCATTGACTGTTATTGTAGTTCTCTTTGTCCTTGCAAGCAAGACACTACATAGTTGTTTTCAGTGTTGTTACACTATTTCTGCCACCTTTTACTTTTGTTTCACATCTGATGTAAGTGTGGTATGAAAAGGTGCTTAAAGAGTTTCGGTTATTGTCCAGTGAGGATTCTTTTTTCTTTTTGGCTGCAGATGGCACCCTTTCCCCCCATTCTTCATAGACAATGTCCCTGGCTTTTGTCCAGAATTCTTCTGGGTCCTGGTCTATTAGGCTTAATAGTACAAATCCATTTTTTACCCTGCAGATTTTTCAATTTTTATGGGGATGTTCTTCAGATTATTATTTTTTCTTTGCACAATGATTGAGTTAATGTTCTTCTTTAGGAATACTCTATTTTTAATAGTAGAAATTCATGGTTTGTGTCATATGCTGCTCTGAGTCTTGTTTTTCCAGAAAGAATTGTTTCTCCATTTCCTCCTTCAAATTAACCAGTTTCCATGTTGGTCATCACATTATGCCTATATATATATATACAGTTGTCTCTTTGGTTGTCTGAATGCTGTATTTGTGGTGAACAAATTGTTGCCTCTACAAAATTAAGCAACTATTTCCATCTTTTGAAGTCCAATCCTTTTGGTGTGTGATCCATTTCCTCCTGGACTTCAGTGGAGAATCACTTCAATTTCCTCCTCTTCTGCCTCTGTAGTTGACAGCACAAACTTTTATTTTGAGCTCTTTTCACTACTTTCATTGTTATGCAGGCTTTGTGTCCACCATTACAATCACAATCATTTTGGGCGTTATCATTTTGAAGATACTGTGAAGACTTATGCATGTAGATAATTTTGGAATTAATATTTAATAACTTGGCTGATATGAGAGGTTCATCTTCAGGTTGTCATACATCAGAAATGACTTCAGGGCACACAGTAACAACTAGATATTCATTTAATACAAGAAAATGAATTATAGGGACTTCAGGTGTTGTTGGACTGTAAGCCTTAACATTAGCATGGCTTCCCAAAAAGTAACATAAAATATGGATGTATTGTAATATCAGTCCTAACTAGGCCTGAACCTAGAATCCAACACTTGATGATAAAAGAAGTAAAGCATCCCCAAGGACTGAAGCATCGATCTCCTTGATTACACTATGTAACACAATTTTTGTTCCTGGGTTATAAATGTCATTTCCTAATTGATTCTATCATAAAAACATGGGAAATGTTTATTAAATTGCAAAAAACGTTGTTTTTGCAGGACATCCTGCAGCACATTTTGTTATAGTTTTTCATTAATATCTTATCAAGTTGCAACCAATTCAACATTGATTGTGGCAGCCACAAAATGAAGTTTCTGGAGTATGACAACTACTTTCAAAGTAAGTACTTCACAATTAAACAGGAATAACACTTTCAAACCAAGAACAGAACTTTTTTTTTTCAAATTTTGTTACATAATGCTATTGTCAAATAATTCTTACCGGTCCAACCAGTATATGTAGAGCAATCATGAGGATCTGATGTCTTTAATCCTTCTTCCATTTGCTGCACCAGGTCTTTAATTTTTGTTGTGACCTTCCTATTGAAATATGAGCTTATCTAGAGAGAATGACAAATTTCAGAAGGAGATAGATTAAGAGAGAGAGAATGAATGGCAGCATGCAAGAGAACAAGAACACACACATTGAAAGTCATGTAATAATGGGTAGAAATCAAATGTGAGATATAGTTCATTGATATTACATGTTAAGAATGTCAATGCAATCCACTGTACATGTGTTAATACTCTATATAGCAACATAAAAGATGAGAATCTTTGTAACTCTGCCCACTGCTAATTAGTAATAATATAGGAATCATCTTAAATCTTAATCAAATGTACAGCTGTAATTGAGTGAAATAAACACATTCACACTTGTATGAACTCAGAGACACATGTTTATGAAATATATAAATGTAGCCTCCTCCTTGGCTTTCAGGGATGGAACACAATGCTTTCTATCCCCAAAAGCTACCAAAGGAGGAGTATATTTGTTGGGTGGGTGGGAGAATTCCAGGAGAGAGTGGGAAATTCAAAAGAAAAAAGAGACTGAGGAGAATACAGAAACAGGATGCCAATAAAAAGTACCAGCTGGACAAGCCATGGGAGAACAGGATTACAGCCAATACTTCCAACACAACCTTCAATTCAGTAGCTTTAGAACCAGAACAGAGGAAGCAGTGTGAGGCCTGGAAATGCATCCTGGTTGAGGGCTGTGTAGCAAGAGATTAGGCTGTGATCAAGTACATGTCACGTTTATTGGCATCCATTCCCATTCTATAAGTCCACTTTGAAGTTTCAATTTTACTCTTATCAGAATTGTTTAGATTGTTTTCTTCTGGTCTTTTCCCTTATACATTGCCAGCAAATATATTTAACTTTCATAAGCATGTTTGGTCTTATTTCAGTGGAAACTACCAACACCTCTTTTAGTTCTGTTCTTCCTTGGACATGTTTATAGTTAATATTTTTTATTTATCATAATTTATTTTGGGTGTTGTATATATCTGAAACTTTTCCAAAAAATCATCATCATCATCATCATCATCATCATCATCATCATCATCTCCTTCTTCTTCAATTATTATCAAATAATTATTAAATAATAATAATAATAATAATAATAATAATAGCAGCAGCTGTCCTAAGCATTTTTCTGGATTTGACAAAAAACAACATGTATATGAATTTATATTCAATTTTTAAATTTTTTATTCCTTGACTTTCAATATTTTTCCTTATTAATTCTGCTAATAGTTCTATTGCTGTAGCAAAAGGCGGGGAAAAGGAAAAAAGGAGAGAGTGGGCATCTTCCTCAGATTCTTCTAGGAAGTGTTTGAAACCCATACCATTTACACTTACTATAGCTTTTGCATTTTCATATATCTGTTTCATAATTGCTACAAACCATTTTAATTTCTTTTAAAGTGAATGGGGATCCCCTGGTTTTTACTTTTACCCTTTTTTTCATTTTAGGAGTGACTTGAGAAACTGCAAGTTGCTTCTGGTGTGAGATAATTGGCCATCTGCAAGGGCATTGCCCAGAGTATGCCCAGATGTTTTGATGTTTTACCATCCTTGTGGGAGGCTTCTCTCATGTCCCCACATGGGGAGCTGGAGCTGATAGAGGGAGCTCACCCATGCTCTCCCTGGATTTGAACCCCCGACCTGTTGGTCTTCAGTCTTGCCAGCACAAGGGTTTAACCCATTGCACCATCAGAGGCTCTTTTTACCCTATTACATGATTCTGGAATTTTCCATCAGAATAATATACCATTATATAAACCATGTAATTGAGGGATTAGGTCAACTGCAATTTTTTAAAATAGAAATTGGTGCAAAGAGCATTTGTCATGGTGATTTATTCGCTCATGCATCTATCAATTTTTTTAACACTGAAAAAAGCAAAGCAGAACAAATGATTATTTAGATATAATAGTATCAAAATGGATTACGATCAGCTCTTAACCACCCATGCTGCATCTCTGAACACAAAGATAACATAACAGAATGGGTGAAAAGGCACTTACTGCTACTTTCAATGGGTGATTATATGATTCATTAGTTTGTGCTATGGTTTCCTGCAAAATCAGAGGCTTATTAATCTCTGTTGTATTCTAGACAGTTCTGACTATGCTAGACTGAAGAACCACTGTGGTGGATGTTGCAAGCTAAGCAATTCAGTAGATGATCAAGGACCAGTTATTCTCTTTCAGTTTAATTCTCTCTTTAGACTCATATTAAGGTTAGAATGGGACATTACATATCTATCTGCCTATCCGCCTATCTATCTATCCGCCTATCTATCTATCTATCTATCTATCTATCTATCTATCTATCTCCCTTCATTTGCCACATATATCCCAAGCATAATACAAATGCAAAAATGAACAATGTACAGTTATATGTACAATCCTTGATCTCATCTTCTGATCAATGACATCTATATCTTGATCCATATACGGTTCATTTTTTGTCACAAAGCCTATAAACTGCCACACAGAGTCATTTTCATCATTTAAATCATGCTATACCAAAAGTTGTAAGTACCTTTACCACAAATAGATGGCATCAGCAATACTCAAGTAGCCCCTATGCGTCTGAACAGCACTAAATCATCTGAAGATGTCCTAATTAACTATTTCCAGTAACTGGTGAAGCTTTACCTTTATTTATCATTAACCTTCAACTGCTCCCAGTCAGATGCTAAAATAAACTCTCACTACATTAAGTGTATAATATAATCCTCAAATATGTCAGAGAACATACAAACAGCCCATTAGCAGTTAATATCAACAGCTCAAGTCATTTCTTGATTCCCTCCCGCATCCTACGCTTAGAGGTTTGAAGACAGCTCTTGACTGTGTTCCACAGTTGTCTGTCATAATATTAGTACTTAATTTATGTCTGTCAAAATATTGGGTTCTGTGCTGATGTTGCTCTAGCCATGTGGCAAGCCAAGGCAATAGCTTGAAATAAAGCAAAGAACATAATTTCCCATTCGTGTCAATTTAAGCCTGAGTTATACATCATAATATGACCTTTACTTTGTGGGATGGGGGGCTGTCAAAATCCAGAATAGGTCCACAGACAGGGAAGGGACAGAAAAAGCAAATGCCAGGCATCCATTTGCTCACTGGGTTTGGAATAAGTGTCAGTTTCCTCCTATTAAACCATAATGAGGATGCCCAGTAACATATGCATTTCCCATCATTTTAAGCATTTGATGAAAGATGGTTTGGAGCACAGAATTCTTGTAGTTTGAACACTCCTTATCCAAAATGCTTGGAACCATATGTGTTTTGGATCTTTTTTTATTTTTCTGGAACACCTATTTGCATATTCATGCATAATGAGGTATCTTGGGATCCAAGTTTAAACAATACACACACACACACACACATGCTGAAACCATAGCCTGAAATTAATTTTATACAATATCTACAATAATAATTTTGTGTATGAAACCAAGTCTGTGTACACTGAACCATAAGAAAGCAAAGGTGTCATTATTTCAGTCACTCATGTAGACAACATTGGATCCTGGAATATTTCCACTTTTGGAATTCCAGATAAGGAATGCTCAACCTATACCACGGTGAGAAACCAAAGACTCGAGTAAGGTGAGAAACAGAAGAAAGGAGAGGTTTTTGCACCATGATACAAAAACGTCCTCCTTCCTCTGTATCTAGTCCCTCAGGTGTGCTGGCAGAGCGACGTGATGTGGGTGAAAAGGAGAAGGGAACAATCTCATAATGCATTGGTCTGGAAAGCATCCAAAAACATGTAAACCTCAAATGGTTATTAAAGATGTTCACAGGCATGCAGCTCCCGTTTTCCCTCATGTCATAGCATTTTGGAGAGGGAGAAGAGCCAGCATTGACTAGCAACAATGCCTCAGCTACTGAGAAAACAAAGCTTAGTGGCCTTGCAACAAATGCATTGAGCTGCATGGTGCTTCCAGATGAGGTTGTAACCATGCAGGCACATTCCTTTTTCAGGGAAGAGTCTCATCTACTCAATGGCATACCTTTTCCTCCACCATTTAGTGAGGACAGAACCGGCAACTATCCAAATAACTATCAAGTTACACACCTAAAGAAGTCAATTTATTTTGCTAAGTTACAACTATAATGTAACTAGCTACTGTAATCAGTTACTTCCAACTTAACTGATAATGAAGTTTAACTTGAAATAGCATAACATAAAATCTATCAGTAAGCTGAGGTCTGTAGTGAGGAAGAGGGTCTAGGAAGGCTGTCTAGAGCAGGGGTCCTCAAACTTTTTAAACAGAGGGCCAGGTCACAGTCCTTCAAACTGTTGGAGGACCAGATTATAATTTTTTTAAAAACATGAATTCCTATACACACTGCACGTATCTTATTTGTAGTGCAAAAACACTTTAAAACCATACAATAATTAAAATGAAGAACAATTTTAACAAATATAAGCTTATTAGTATTTCAGTGGGAAGTGTGGGTCTGCTTTTGGCTGATGAGATAGGATTGTTGTTGTTGTGTTTTCAAGTCATTTCAGACTTAGGTTAATCCTGAGCGAGGGCTGGGTAAATGACCTTGGAGGGCCGTATTCGGCTCTCGGGCTGTAGTTTGAGGACCTCTGGTCTAGAGAGTGTGGGGAGACATACACTTCAATAGTATGGGGATACAAAATGCTGAAATGGGAAGCTGAGTTATTTTTTCTAGAGCAGCACCTGTTGCTGACAGAAATTTCATGCTGTTGTTTGGGTTAAATAGTCTGGGGCAACTTATGAAATAGACTCTCATTTCCTAGCAGAAAGGCAACAATCTCACCCCAATCTACAATATGCATTTCCGCAAGTTAACCTTCCTACACTCTGTACCTTGCAAGTGTCCCTCACTGGGACTAGCCAGCCAAATTTACAGCTCAAAGTATTTCCATATAATTTTCTCAACCTTAAACCAAGTGGGCTATTTAGCAGTTGCTCCCTTTCCAGTAAACCATGGGGATTTAGCAGAGTGTTTGAGAGCCGGGACATCCGTAGGGATACCAAGGTGCTTGTTTATAAAGCTATTGTACTCCCAATCCTGTTCTACCCTTCTTCCAGCACCCTGATGTTTGTCTGCTTATCTTCCCAAGAGATTTGCAGGATTTTCTGGAGGCAGCGCTGATGGAATCGTTCTAGAAGTTGCTATATGCCTGTGAGACGTGGACTGTCTACAGACATCACATGCAACTTCTAGAACGATTCCATCAGCGCTGCCTCCAGAAACATCAGGGTGCTGGAAGAAGCAAAGACCACCAGCATCGATCATCTAGAGAGGCCCTGCTCACACTCACGCTTCCTTTGCAGGCGTGATTGGTGGGGACGAGGGAGAGGGCCTTCTTGGTGGTGGCCCCCCGACTCTGTAACTCACTTCCCAAGGACATCAGGTATGCTCCAATATTGGTAGTCTTTAGGAGCCTGAAAACGTGGTTGTTCCAGTGTGCCTTCCCAAAATAAGGAAAATTCCCAGCAATCTGTCCTCAGAATGCACTTTACTACTGGTTTAGGATTGATTGCACTCCCTCGTCTCTTTTAAAACCCTGTACCAGATATATCCTACCTTGTTCATGCCCAGCGTTTATTTTTTAAAATTTTAAACTATTACATTTGGCCAGCCACAGGTTTTAAATCCTTGTGTGTTACTGTTTATTGGTTATTGTTTATATGTGATTTATATTAATTGTATTGTATTATTGTTTTTTGTTTATTGCTTTTTGTTTTTATTGATGTGTTGTTGGGCTTGGCCTCATGTAAGCCGCTCCGAGTCTCTTGGGGAGATGGTGGTGGGGTATAAAGTATGAGGGGTATTTTTTAAGTAAAGTCCGTTTTGTTGTAGACACTAGTAGTTCACGCACATACCGCAACGAGCGCATGCGTTGTGTACCAGCATGCCTCAGGAACAACTGTGCCCCATTTCCGCTCTGTAGCTAAACTGTAGGGTTCTGTTCAGTGCTTTAACAACGTTTAAGACTATCAACTCACCCGTCGCATGTGAGGTTTGCTCAGTGATACGGTTTTTGTCAGCAAGGAACCTGCCTGCTGCAGAAATTCATCAACAGATTTATGAAGTGTACGGTGATACTGTTATGAGTGAAAGCAAAGTGCGTAAGTGGGTACGACAATTCAAAGATGGCCATGACAACGTTCATGAGGAGGACCGCTCTGGTCACCCTTCTTTGGTTACAGACAATTTGGTTATCGGAGCAGGCGGCAAGTTTTTATGAAGAGGGTATTTTAAAATTGGTTCAGAGGTATGATAAGTGTTTGAACAAACTTGGCAACTATGTTGAAAAATAGAGTGAAGTATGTAGTTTCTGAAAATAAATTTACTTTTTTGAAATAAACTTTTGTTGTGTACTTATGTTCCAACGGACCTTACTTAAAAAATACCCCTCGTATTATTATTATTATTGAAGCAATGGTCCTCCGCCATCAACTCCGCTGGACTGGCCACGTTGTTCAGATGCCCCAACCATCCCGCTTAGACTACTGCAACGCTCTCTACGTGGGGTTGCGTTTGAAGACGGCCCGGAAGCTCCAGCTGGTCCAACGCGCGGCAGCCATGATACTAACAGGAGCGGGACGCAGGGAGCATACAACGCCCTTGTTGTACCAGCTCCACTGGCTGCCGATATGCTACCGGGCCCAATTCAAGGTGCTGGTGTTGACCTACAAAGCCCTAAACGGTTCCGGCCCAAAATACCTGTCTGGCCTCTCAGCCTATGAGCCCAAGAGGACTTTGAGATCTTCCGGGGAGGCCCTGCTCTCGATCCCGCCTGCCTCACAGGCACGGCTGGCGGGGACGAGAGATAGGGCCTTCTCGGTGGTGGCTCCTCGGCTGTGGAACACCCTTCCTGTGGACATCAGGCTAGCCCCCTCCCTGTTGATCTTCCGCAGGAAGTTAAAGACCTGGCTATTTAAGAAGGCATTTGACCAAGAAGTGCAATGACTGGCTATTTGACCATAGGAATGGAACAATGGTAATGATATCGGATTGTGTGTTGACGATGAGACGATTCGGAATGTAGTAGAAATTTTGTAGTAATGTTGATATGTTTTGATAAGATGTTTTTCTGATAATGATGAATTGTAGATTATTTTGCACTATGTTTTGTAATTTGCACTTGTTTTTTCATGTTGTACACCGCAATGAGTCACCCTTGGGCTGAGAATTGCGGTATATAAGCGCAGTAAATAAATAAATAAATAAATAAATAAGTCCAAGCAGTAGACATGCAAATAAAAACGGAATGTTGGTGGACAGGAAAAGAGATTTAAAGATGGGCTTAAAGCCAACCTTTAAAACTCTGGCATAGACACTGAGAACTGGGAAGCCCTGGCCCTTGATAGCTCCAGTTGGAGGTCAGCTGTGACCAGCAGTGCTGCAGAATTTGAAGAGGCATGATTGGAGAGAAACGTGCCAAGAGGACCGGGACTGCCTTCCACCTGGAAACCAATGCCCTAACTGTGGGAGAAGATGCAGAACAAAAATAGAGCTCCACAGTACACCGATTTTGGAGGACAATCCTACTCGGACAACGAGGGATCGCCTAAGTATAAGTAAGTATATATTTATATGGGAGTGTTTATTCTGATAACCTAGTTCAAGGGTGTGTGGAAGGGCCCTGCGAGGGAAGAGTGTCTGTCTTGCCGGCACGCCCCCCTGTCGCCTCTATAAGCCGGAGAGGGAGGGAGAGAGGGAGGGAGGGAGAGGCTCGTAACGGCGCTCCCAATTCGAGGTGCTCACCTTGCCGTCGGCCTCGAAGGGGAGGCGCTCCTCGCCCTCGGAGTCTGTGGGGGAAGGCGGGGCGGTGCTGGCGGCGGCCCCTGCGCCTCCTCCTCCCCCGCCTCCTCCTCCGTGGTAGTCGGGGAAGGGGTTGCTGAAGGCCCGCTCCTCCATCTCCGCGTCGCCGCCCAGCTGCAGCTTCAGCCTCTTGGACATGCCTTCTCCCATCTCGCGCCGCGGGCCCTCACTTCCTTCCGGCCGACGGCGAGCCGGAGAGGACACCCTTCTTCTCCCGGGCGGGAAGCGCGCGCCAGCTGTTGCGCCTCAGCTCAGCCCCGAGCCCACCTCGGCGGCCCTTCTCCTCATCGCCGCCCCTTTCGCCTCGCATCTCACACCGCCACCAGAAGCACCAGCAGCGGGAAGGAGACGCCGAAGATGAGGCAGTAGACCAGCAGCTCCCGCCCGGGGCGAGGCAGCCAAGCCCTCCAGGCCGGCGGAGGCATCGCAGGGAGGCAGCTAGGCAGCCAGGCCCCTCGCCAGCTCCCGGCCCTTCAGCGCCCGGACGGACTCTGCGGCGCCAAGAGCGCGCGCGACGCGGAGAGAGGGGGAAGAGGAGGAGGAGGAGGGGGCGGGGCCTCCAGGGCCAGGCGCGCGCCCCTCGCTCCCAGCTGGACACTAATGCGCCTCAAGCTCCAGAAGCACGCGGAGAGAGAGGGAGGGGGCATATTAGGCCAGGCGCGCGCCCCTCGCTCCCAGCTGGACACTAATGCGCCTCAAGCCCCAGAAGGACGCGGAGAGAGAGGGAGGGGGGAAGAGGAGGGGGGCGGGGCCTCGGTTGGAGGCGGGGCCTCGCTCCCAGCTGGACACTAATGCGCCTCAAGCCCCAGACGTACACGGAGAGGGAGGGGGGAGGGGGAGGGGCGGGGCCTCGGTGGGGGCGGGGCTTATTAGGCCAGGCGTGCGCCTCCCGCTCCCAGCTGGACACTCAAGCCCCAGAAGTACGCAGAGAGAGAGGGAGGGAGGAGGGGGAGGGGGGGGAGGGGGAGGGGGCGGGCCCTCTTAGACCAGGCGCGCGCCACTCGCTCCTAGCTGGAAACTAATGCGCCTCAAGCCACAGAAGGACGGGGAGAGAGAGGGAGGGGAGAAGAGGAGGAGGAGGGGGCGGGACCTTGGTTGGGGGCGGGGCCTCTTAGGCCAGGCGCGCGCCCCAGCTGGACACTAATGTGCCTCAAGCCCCAGAAGGACGCGGAGAGAGAGGGAGGGGGGAAGAGGAGGGGGGCGGGGCCTCTTAGGCCAGGCGCGCGCCCCTCGCTCTCAGCTGGAAACTGATGTGCCTCAAGCCCCAGAAAGACCTGCACGCAGGCAGAAAAGAAATTACAGGTTTGCTGTGAGTTTTCCAGGCTGTATGGCCATGTTCCAGAAGCATTCTCTCCTGACGTTTTGCCCACATCTATGGCAGGCATTCTCAGAGGTTGAGAGGTTTGTTGGAAACTAAGCAAGTGGGGTTTGTATATCTGTGCAATGTCCAGGGTGGGAGAAAGAACTCTTGTCTGACTGAGGCAAGTGTGAATGTTGCAATTGAGCACCTTGATTAGCATTGCATAGCCTTGCAGCTTCAGAGCTTGGCTGCTTCCTGCCCGGAATTATTTATTTATTTATTTGCGACATTTATATGCTGCCATCTCACCCCAAAGGGTGAGAAGGGTTGGGACCCACAGTTTAAGAAGCAGTGATCTGTCCAATATAAAATAATGTCTCATTTTCAATGGTTCTTTGGATTGCTTTACATGGGGTTAGCCTCCCTGGTGGCACAGCAGGTTAAACTGCAGAGCTACTGAAATTGCTGACTGAAAGGTTTGAATCTGTGGACTGGGGTGAGCTCCCACTGTCAATCCCAGCTTCTGCCAACATAACATAGAATCATAGAGTTGGAAGAGACCTCATGGGCCATCCAGTCCAACCCCCTGCCAACCCCCCACACCCCCCCGCCAAGAAGCAGGAAAATTGCATTCAAAGCACCCCTGACAGATGGCCATCCAGCCTCTGTTTAAAAGCCTCCAAAGAAGGAGCCTCCACCACACTCCGTGGCAGAAAGTTTCACTGCTGAACAGCTCTCACAGTCAGGAAGTTCTTCCTCATGTTCAGATGGAATCTCCTTTCTTGTAGTTTTGAAGCCATTGTTCCGCATCCTAGTCTCCAGGGAAGCAGAAAACAAGCTTGCTCCCTCCTCCCTGTGGCTTCCTCTCACATATTTATACACCAGCCGTTCCCTGCCACGGGTTGCTGTGGCCCAGTCTGTGTATATGTGTGTATATATATATGTATATATGTCTGTGTATATATTTGTGTATATGTGTATAAATGTGGTTACGCGCATGCATTGTAATGTATTTATTTATTGGCTTTTAAAGTCTCTTCCACTGTGTTTTCCAGTGTTTTTATGAGTGATGGTCACTCATTGGCCTGATAGGTGTCTTGTGTCCAAATTTGGTGTCAATTTGCCCAGTGGTTTTTGAGTTATGTTAATCCCACAAACGAACATTACATTTTTATTTATAAAGATGGCTATCATGCCTCCTCTCAGCCTTCTCTTCTTCAGGCTAAACATGCCAGCTCTTTAAGCCGCTCCTCATAGGGCTTGTTCTCCAGTTCTAATTAACAGTTCGAAAACATGCAAATGTGAGTAGATCAATAGGTACCACCTTGGCAGGAAGGTAACAGCACTCCATGTAGTCATGCTGGCCACATGACCTTGGAGATGTCTACTGTCAACGTCGGCTCTTCAGCTTAGAAAGAGCCCCAAAGTCGGACTCGACTTAATGTCAGGGGAAACCTTTACCTTTTAGCTCTCTTTTGAAGGGAGAGCATAGGACAGTAAGCTCAATGTGGCCACTCTGAAGATACCTTGAATTTCAGAAATGAGCCCCTCTCGCTCAGATCTGGCCAAAGCAACTCAGACTAAGCTAGAGGATGGGAAGCAGACAATGTGCCTGTTCTTGCAACACCATTCCAATGGCTGAGCTGTTTTCGTCATTCAACATGATGGCAGGTATCCAACAGCAATCAGCCATTTTCAGTGAGGGAACTATGGGCCTCTTTAGACTACATAATTATAATTCAACGATTTCACTTGAGCTCCCAAGAGTTCATTCGATGGAATCGTTGTAGTTTTGCAGCTTAGGGTCACCCTCCTCTGAACACATTCCAGCTTGTCAATATCTCTCTTGAATTGTGGTGCCCAGAATTGGACACAATATTCCAGGTGTGGTCTAACCAAGGCAGAATAAAGGGGTAGCATGACTTGCCTGGATATAGACACTAGACTCCTATTGATGCAGGCCAAAATCCCATTGGCTTTTTTTGCCACCACATCACATTGTTGGCTCATGTTTAACTTTTGTCCACGAGGACGCCAAGATCTTTTTCACACGTACTGCTCTCGAGCCAGGCATTGTCCCCCATTCTGTATCTTTGCATTTCGTTTTTCCTGCCAAAGTGAAGTATCTTACATTTGTCTCTGTTGAACTTCATTTTGTTAGTTTTGGCCCATCTCTCTAATCTGTCAAGATCGTTTTGAATTCTGCTTCTGTCTTCTGGAGTATTGGCTCTCTTTCCCAATTTGGTGTCGTCTGCAAACTTGATGATCCTGCCTTCTAACCCTTCATCTAAGTCATTAATAAAGATGTTGAACAGGACCGGGCCCAGAGTGGAACCCTGCGGCACTCCACTTGTCACTTCTTTCCAGGATGAAGAGGAAGCATTGGTGAGCACCCTCTGGGTTCGTCCATTTAACCAATTCCAGATCCACCTCACCGTAGTTTTGCCTAGCCACATTGGACTAGTTTCCTTGCCAGAAGGTCATGGGGGACCTTGTCGAAGGCCTTACTGAAATCCAGGTACGCTACATCCACGGCATTTCCCGCATCTACCCAGCTTGTAACTCTATCGAAAAAAGAGATCAGATTAGTCTGGCATTACTTGTTTTTGATAAATCCATGTTGACTATTAGCAATGACCGCATTTGTTTCTAAGTGTTTGCAGACCACTTCCTTAACAATCTTTTCCAGAATCTTGCCTGGTATCGACGTGAGGCTGACCGGATGGTAATTGTTTGGGTCATCCTTTTTTCCCTTCTTGAAGATTGGGACCACATTGGCCCTCCTCCAATCTGCTGGAACTTCTCCCGTTCTCCAGGAACGCTCAAAGATGATTGCCAATGGTTCCGAGATGACTTCTGCTAGTTTCTTCAATACTCTTGGGTGTAGTTGATCTTGCCCTGGGGACTTGAACTCATTTAGAGCAGCCAGGTATTCCTGGATGACTTGTTTCCCAATTTGGGGTTGGATGTCCTCTAATCCCTCATCCACTCCATCTTGCTGAGGTTGAAGATGACTTTCTTTTTGTGAGAAGACCGAGGCAACTTGTTTCCCAATTTGGGGTTGGATGTCCTCTAATCCGTCATCCACTCCATCTTGCTTTTTGTCATACAATAATAATAATAATAATAATAATAATAATAACTTTATTTATACCCCGCTCCATCTCCCCCAGGGACTCGGGGCGACTTACATGAGGCCACGTCCATCAGTACAATAAACACAGTATTACACAAAAACATAACAAAACCAGAAAATAAAATACATAAAATGCAAAAACCAATATAATAGACAACACAACAATATAAAATCAAACATTCAAACACAAACGAATTTCACTGGGCAGGGCCAATTCAAAAGTAAAATTTAAAAATTTTAAAAACACTGGGAGATAGGGCAGTGTAAAATTGTCGTGAAGGGGGATCCGGGGATGAGGAAGGATTTAATTGCATGAACCATAAAATAAAATGCTTCTGAGGTAATTTTGGTCAGGGTGTGCCCTACATTCAATCATTGAAGGCAGATTGGAATAACCAGGTTTTCAGGTTCCTCCTGAAGATTGCCAGTGTGGGGGCTTGCCTAATATCCTTGGAGAGTGAATTCCAGAGCTGGGGGGCCACCATAGAGAAGGCCCTCTCTCTCGTCCCCACAAATCGCATTTGCGATGCAGGCGGGAGCGAGAGAAGGGCCTCTCCGGAAGATCGAAGAGGTCATGGGTTCGTAGACGGAGATGCGGTCACGCAGGTAGGCATCTCCCAAACCGTTCAGGGCTTTGTAGGTCAAAACCTGTACCTTGAATTGGGCCCAGAAAATAAATTGCAGCCAGTGGAGTTCCTTAAACAGGAGGGTTGACTGCTCTCTGTAATTCGCACCAGTTAATAATCTGGTTGCTGCCCATTGGACCAATTGGAATTTCCGGGCCGTCTTCAAGGGCAGCCCCACATAGAGCGCATTGCAATACACCAATCTAGAGGTAACTAAGGCATGTGTCCAAATCCGACCACTCTAATAATGTAATATATTGTATGTATATATATCTCGGGGTGAGAAGGGTGGCATATAAATGTCGTAAATAAATAAATGAATAAATAAATAATTGCTAAAATCACATCTGCATATCAGTTGCCTGAGAAAAAAGGCTATGAAATAAATGGAACTGCCATAGGTTATCAGGTGACCGAGAGGCACATACATAGACATGCATGCCTTTTTACCAATCGAGA